TATTTATTTATATTATTATATTTAGATTTATTGTGCTGTATATCTTGCTTTGTCTTTTTCATTATGGATTTTGTGTCATACTGTGTTTTTAAGTACTTTCTCCTCTATAAAATCTCTAAAACACAGCTCACGTGACCCAGATGTGGCCTGTTTGTCTCAACTATGAGTGCTCATGTCTGTTTGCTTAGTGAATCTGAGGAAGCTGCAGGCGAAACATGTTGTTCGCTCCTGATAGTCGTTCCAGTCTGAGTACTTTAGAATACTTTAAACTGTTAACAGTCAATAAGTTGTTCATTGTCATGTTAAAATGTGCCTTAGCGATAAAACAAAAAGCTGTTTAACGTCGTCAACCGGTTCAGATTTAAATGTATTGTTTTAGCAGCGGTTATCAGAGAACGTTAATGATGCACAACCCTATTGATAAGGTTTGCTGATTAATACCATCTCTCAGGGGAAGTGGTGGTGACAGAAACTGGTATACAACAGATCCGGTCCAAACCCCTCACAGGCCACACCTCTGCTAAGTAAATCTACAGACTACAGTAAACAGTCTTATCAAGTATTACAACCCCAGCTGTTATACAGTCTGCCTGGAAATGGGAAGACGTTGTGTAATCACGCCACACATCATATATCACAGATACAGCAGGTATCATGGTAAATTTACTGCTGCATGGATGTAATTACAGAGAAGATGATGCACTGATACCCCGAATGAGGACAGCCAATGTTATCCTTCATCCAGACGAAGGGCTAGGATTGCCCACCTGGAGGTATTATTACTATGGAACAACGTTCCTTTTTGAGGCATTGAGTTTCATCTTGCATTGTTTCTCAAGTCAAATGTGAAACTTGCTTCTGTTTTTCACTTGCAGGAAGTGTTTCTTACTGCAGGGGAGGAAGGGAGGGGGGTGATCTAATGTAGAGATGAGATCACTGACACATCACAGAGTTTGAAGGGAGGTTGAAAGAAAATTACAAATATATTTGTGTTATTCACCTTGAAGCCTCCAATGCGATGGTCTCTCTTGAACTCCTTGCCGTTCTTGTACCACTTCAGCGTGGGAGTTGGGTTGCCGCTGGCCTGGCATCGAAACTTCACCGTCTTACTGGCTGGGACAGCGTGGAGCTTTTTCTCCATCTTTTCTGGATACGCCCACTGTGGGGCGTCCGCTACAGAATAAGACAAAAAAATACAATTAACAGAATAACAAACACAATTAGGAGTTTAGATAGAGCTGCAGAAACAGTGTGTGTATTCTCTAAAAATAAAAAAATTAAGCTCAAAACATATTTTAAGTACACTAAACCTCAAGCTCCTCTAATGGAAGACATTATATAACACCCCAACCAAGTATTCCCAGGTGAGGGGAAGATCGGTTCACAGACCGCTGGGGGGACTCTCATGTGGCTAACGATGGGAGAAACCTGGAGGGGGATCACTGGGAGGACAGGCCAGAGTAGTGCTTTGTTATTGGACCTCTGTGCTGGTCCTGGATTGGCCGTAACGAGTTTTATGCTCAAGCACAGGGAGATTCATTCATAAGTGTAGCAGAACGCCTTCCTTTGGAGGTTTTCCGGGCAATTGGTACGAGACCCCGGGGTCAACCAAGAAGACGCTGGATAGATTATAAATCTCATCTTCCAGGAGGAGCTGGAAAACGACGGTTGGACTACATTGCTTAGTCTGCTGCCACCACAACCCGGCCTCAGATAACCTACAGACAATGGATGGATTACTGTATAATCAAAAGTTAAACCAAACAAAACAAAAAAGATTTCTAAATTATAGTCATTGGGCTTTTCTTTAAAGTCCCCCTCCACTCAAATATCTGTTTCTTCTCATTCCTACAGTGTGATGTCTGAATGATGTCTGTGCAGAGTTTCACTCTAGAAGAATGTTTTCACATTTATCTGCTGAAAGTGGAAAGTTTCTCTGAGCTCATTGAAAAGTTGATTTTAAGTGTTATCCACCAGTGCACACACACTGAGAATGGACTTTACAGGGGAGGAAGAGACGGCTTGTGTCCAGTAGGAAACCTTTAGTGCATATTCATAGTTTCAATGAGGTAGAAAAAACCTTTAATGTGAAAATTATACTTTATATTTACACATATATTTATTAATATATCTAAAAGTTTAGAGGGAATCTTTAAATAAAAAAGAAAATCATTTTTGAAGGTGCTGTGGCTTTAAAATAAAAGTCATGCGTTAGTTTGAGGGGGGAGATAAAGCTCTGGAGTACAAACTCAAGGTCGGCATGCTTGGATTCTTTGTGGGCAGGAGCCAGATGATGAAGCCCGAGTGTCTTAATTGCTCTATAGACAAATTGGAAGACATCTAAGGTTAACCACGGTTAGTCACCGCAGGGACATTTCTCATGCAAAAGCTGTCACTGAGGGAGTGAAAACCCTCTGATTCAGAGTCAAATCATTCACCCGAATGTGACCCACACACATGGCAGGCCCGTAATTGAATCATAAAGCTCTCAAATCACTGAGCATGACAATTACTCATAACCCTGTGACTTCGGGGCGAGCGAGTAATGACCATTTGTTGCAGCAGTATTGGTAACATGAAGAGATCAGCACACTTACGCAGCAGTTTCTGACTGCCCAACAGCTTGGCTTCCTCTGACGAAGACTCTTCATCTTCATCGTCATCCTCAGATGAGGCCAGGGTGTCAACTGGTGAAACAGAAAGTAAATGTGAGGCCAGAATTACATACACACAATCACAATCAATCAGTAATTATCACATAAACACTAAAGACAAAGATAATATGCACATTAAGTGGTGCACACTGTTATTTACTGGATACACTCTCGTTACTTGTAACAAATCATGTCTAGTTTTAGTACTTTGTTGATTAGATGTTAATTTGAAAATTGGAATAGTCTGATAAAGGACATTGATTCATAAAATATCCCCACTTTGTTTGCTTATTGATAAATCCTTAATAATATACATTTCCAAGCCTTTACTCATCAGTTTTCTTGTGTAAAATAAGTGTATAAATAAATAAAGTGTTCCTACTGACTGTAATGTGGGCCTACCTGTCTGTGTCCAGCTGCTCAGACAGTAGTTCATGTGTGAGAGGATCCACAATTAAATTGTTCCTTATGTGTCTAAAAGTTGTTTGTTCTTTTGAATGTGAGTCATGTGTCTATTATGATGCCTAAATATTTAAACTCTCTGTCTTCTTCCTGCTACAATAACCTCTGGGTCTGGATCTGTATTTGTAGACTTTGAGAAGAATATACATACATATACATTATTTTCTTTCTATGACTGTACCTGTGACGTTGAAATAGTCGCTGTGGTTGCCGAAGGTGGTGCACGCGTACAGGCCGGAGTCCGTCAGCTCTACGCTCTCGATCTCCAGCTGCCCGTTGCGGATGCGCGTGTGTTCTCCGTCCACTACCGCCACATGGTCTTTGGTCCAGTTGACAGCGTGGGGGGAGTCCCTGGCGGAGCAGCTCAGGTCCAGACGATCCCCGAGATAGAGCGTGAACGGCTCCGCTTGCGTTTCCACAGAGACTACCGAGGGAAAAGAGAAAAGAAATGGTTTTATTTCAACAGCTCCGTGAGGTTATTTAACACTTTATGTAATTATAAACACAAGAATGGCTCCATGAACACATTAAAAGTTAATATATTTGACACAAAGGATACATATTCACAATAGTATACCAACCAGGATTGTTCCTACTCAAATAAACTGAGTAAATAATAATCAGTAACTGACGGGGATCACACAAGACAGGGCTGTATCTGTGCTGCAGACACATCGAAAGGTACTTCAATCATAAAACAGGGTCTGAGAGACAGCAGAAAAGTCCTTCCTTTGATTTCCTCCCGGCAAAAGACACCTAGCCCAACCTCCCCCCCACAAATTAAATCATATCCCAAATTAGTTAAGGCCCTATCGTCGGGCAGACAAGGAGCTACTTGGGAAAGGAAGGTGAAATTCAATTAGAGGATTGAAGAGAGGGAAGGTGTCACGGAGCGAGACACCTGAGCCCCCCTGTTCTATATGACTACATAGTCCACGAGTGGGAGGGGGTAACCCAATTACGCTGACATGTTGTCCATCACAATGGTGTTATTTGTCTAGTTACAAAAAGGTAAAGATCGTCAGTGCTTGACATTCTTGCTCTAGGATCACACATCCACGCCAAAAAGGCCCATGGCGGTCCAATTAGCATCCATGGGTTGGTGGAAATTAGGGTTGAAACTGATCGGAACGTTCATAAAACTACAGAAATATATATATCAGCAATAGATGCTTCATCAATATAGGTAGGTGCACTTTAAGCATTAAACGTAAGCCGGCATGAAAGCACACAACGACTACGCTTCGTCTCATAAACAGACTATCGAAGCCCTTGATAACGGAGCGGGCTGAGTGAATAAACATGGACGCTTCCACACTTTGGGGTGTCGTCAGCCACAATTGAAACACTCCTCAGCTACTCAGCAACAATACATGAACAGTAGAATATTACCTGTGTCATTAAAATGATCAATAATTACCAATATCGACTGTAATGACACCTATATTTCATTTCTATCCCTCAGCTGTATCGCCCAGCTGAGGTCCAGTGTGTAACATTTAGGAGGATCTATTGGCAGGAATATAATACGGAACAGGGAGGGTGAAGCAAGCAGTTGTGAGCTGTAACTACACTCAAGCATCCTGGAAGACCTGGAAAACCCTGGAAGTGTAGAGACTAGTTTTCCTGCTCCCATATCAGTGAAGAGCTGTTCACACCACTCGCAGCAAACCTTTGACATCAAGTCTATTTTGTTAATGATCAAGTACTCTACATTTTTTAAGAGGCTAACAGGGTAGAATGATTTTTTCTGATATATAAAATAGATGAAACTTGATTTGAACTATTATTTATGCTTGGCTGTGGTGAGAACCGCTTAGGGACGCCACGAGAACAAGCTAATGCTAATGTCTCCCATAAATGCTGACCCCCATAGTGAGCAAGTCCTGTCCTGTATTGTCAAGAAAAACCTCCTGGAAAATTCCTACCCTACCCTGTACACTCCTAAATCCTACACACTGGACCTTTAAACATCTATAAAATGTCAGAAATGTGTTAGAAATAAACACACACTGTCTCAAAGTCCAAGATGACATCTTCAAATGTCTTGTTTT